TGAGTCCACATTTCAACTTGTTTCTGGGAAAAATGGATTTCGAGTTCTCAGTCCCAAAGACCAAAGGGACCATCCAGACTTTCATCAGTGACAGATGCAAAAGCAAACATCTGTCATGGTATATGAGTGCATCAGTGCAAACGGCATGGGTGACTTGCATATGTGTGAAGGTACCATTGACATGGAGGCATATATTGGAGTTGTACAGAGAAATATACTGCCGTCAAGATGATGTCTTTCATGGGAAGTCCATGGTTATTAGATTAAGACAATGCCAGCTCTCATTCTGCATGTGCTACAACAGCGTGGTTTCGTAGACTCAGAGTGAATGTGCTAGACAGGCCAGCCTGCAGTCCAGATCTGACTCCTATTGAAAATGTATGACCAGTCATGAAAAGGAGAATCAGACAACGACAATCATAGACTGCTGAGCATCTGAAGCCTTGTTTCAAGAGAGACTGGACAAAAATTTTGCTTGCAAAACTTTAACAATTAGTATCCTCAATTCCCAAACAACGAAACATTGTAATTAAAAGGAAAGTTGATGTGACACAGTGTTAAACGTGCATCTGTCCCAACTTTTTTTGGAGTGTGTTGCAGCCATCAAAATCAAAATTTGTTCATATTTACAAAATACATTTACGTTGGTCAGTAAAAACATTGGAAATGTTTTCTTTGTACTTTTGTCAACTAAATAAAAGTTAAAGAGAATGAACAAATCACAGATTCTTGATTTTATTGCATTTTTACAAAACGTCCCAACTTCTCTGGAATTGGGGTTGTATTATTTTAAACATTTAAATATGGTTCAGCCAACATGGAGAAACATATTACTGTTAATTTAATATCACAGATATACTATTATCGCTTTTATTAATACTTTGAATCAGTTTTAATATTTAAACTTTCAGTTTTCATTTTAATGTTAATTGTTAAAGTTTTAGTAATATATAGTAATATACAGATAGTAATATCTATCTATCTATCTATCTAGATAGATAGATAGATAGATAGATAGATACAGTATATTTCTATTTCAGTTTTAGTTTTAGTATATAGATGAGAAATGTTGACATAGGTAGGTGAAAAAAACATTTCATATTTTATTTTACTTCAAGTAACATTATTAGATATAGTTTCCGTGTTAGATTTAGTGTACTATAATAACCCTGAAACATACTGTACAGAAAAAATTATGTAAAATGGGAAGTTATACCATAGAGAGACCCTTGCAGATCGTCAAGAGTGTGTGTAAAATATAAAATTTCATATAATTAAAAATATCAGTGTGTGTGTGTGTATACTGTATATACATTCAGGAGAATGAATGACAAGACACTTGGGACCTGTTCTTAGGCTGCCTATGACCGATGTCTCCAGATTTATGTGCCTAATGCTTGAAGTTAATGTCAATAATAGTGAGAACAACTGGAGTTGTGCAGAAACAGCCTCACTCTGAGGAATTACAGTTCGCTTCTTACCCAAACTTTACACCAAATTTTGACGAATGTGGCTAGCTCTAAATGGTTTTGTTCAATGTGTTGTTTTGCTAACAGACCCATGGATGCTTTCCCATGGTACTTTGTGCGTCAGTCATCATGGTTAACCATTGTTGTTTTACATGGCGCACCACAGATCATCGTTCGGCTCTTTAACGAAAATTCAATAGACAGTGTCACACAGCATAACAGACTACACCATTAATCCCTATGAGACCAGGGCGAATAAACCAAACGGGACGCTCTGGGAACAGTGGATGGGGCGAGTATGGTTTTGAAACACACTGAATTCATTTTGGAAGGAAAACTTCAAAATAAAGTGGTGCATTTGTGTAATCTCATGAGGAAAGAAGGGTGGTATGGTTGCATTTTGTGAACCTTGTGGTCCAAACACATGCCCCAGCTTCAGGGAGCAAACATGACAGAGCTCATGGGTTGATGCTCACCATATGGGTTCATGTGGTCACCGGGCATTTGAGGAGGGGTGAGGCCCTGCTGGAAGGGGTCAGTGCTGTAACCGTTCTCCATAGCAACCATCTGTTGTTGGGCTGGAGCCAGTGGTGTGTAGGAGTTCATCATTCCCTCCATCCGATTGGACATCACCTCTGGAAGGGGAAAAAAAAAGTCGATGTTGATCAGCTTTTGAGATATTCTCACGGTAGGGATGACTGACATCATCTCTGCGAACTGGAGAGCATAGTTAGTTTAACAACTGTACATAATGCAAAACATTAATGCTTCGTTTAGTAAGAATTGTTCTTTCTAGTGGATTGGGTTTCTCCAAAAATCAAGACTGGGTCTGGTATCTGGCCTCGAAATCAAGTTGAATTTCACGAAAACCAACAAACAAGAAACACTCTTGTTCTGTAGTGGGAGAAGACGCTGTGACACCAGCCCTATAGGGCAGTACTCTATATGAGCCATACTCAATGCCGAGGGCTAGGAATGACTCTTGTGGCTTCCAGTCTGGAGCCCACCATCTCAGTCCTCTGCTTTTGAGTGGTGAGCTCTCGCAAGAAAGATGTCTGCATTTCATTTCTACAGGCTTTCACAAGTTTCCATTACATCTTCTACTCTGATGCAAAGACATCTGATGTTGAGTTTTACCACACTGACACTTTGCTAACCCATAATCCATGATTTTTCAAGTAACTGAGTATCATAAAAACCCCTAAAACTAAAAGATAACTAACTAACTAACTAACTAAATAAATAAAAAGAAAGAAAGAAAAATAAATTAAATTAAATTAAATTACATTAAATTAAATAAAAAAATATATAAAAATAAAAAGTATAAAGTATTCTGTCCACCAAATCAAAAGTGGTCCAACCAACATGCAGGGAAAATACTGTATAAATGATATATATATGATCCTTATATATGGAATATATACAGTATATAATAGAGAGGACCAATGCAAACCCTTATGACTGTATATCAGTCTTTTAAAATATTAAATCATTTGACCTTTTTATGACAAGACAAAGCCAGTTCAGGCTGTAAAATGTCATGTGTGCAAACCATAATATTATGAAAAAAACATCATATTTATGAATTAATATTTTATGATATTTGTAACATTTTTTTCCCTTGAAAACATATTTTAAAATTAAAATTAGAATAAAATTCAATTGAAACTTTTCGTGATGGTGTAAAGTTGTATAAATGTGGTACAAAGGTTTTCATGATCATCCACTAAGTATGTCTTCATCTGCAAAGCTTGTTTTTTTGTTTTTTTTATGTAAAAGATTTTTCTTTTCTTGCTTTCACTGACCCAAATACATAAAGTTGTAAGGTAGCGGTTAAACTTTGAAATACTCTTGAACCACAACATGACGCAGCAAGTCTTTTCTAGAATGTTTTCACACCAATCACTGGCCCCATAGCTGAAACTATTGGAAAGCTGACACTTATAACCATGACAGACAGGATTTACGATAACAAATATAACGATGTATTAACCGTGGGGCTCCATTGGATGACATATTCCAGCCCAATTCCATGATTCATGACATCATGGACTACTCAAGACCGCTATGGTATTTCCCGAAGGGGAGTCTGACTTCACAAGACTTCTCAATATCTCAGACCACCAGAATAGTTCATATACACCTAGCTGTCTCTCTCGAGCGTCTCCATCACCCTATCATTTTCTCTCGTTTCTCTGAGAAAACATTTCTATTGGTTCATGAGGGTAAGGTTCATGACCAAAGATGGATCACTATCTGACTTGGATTATCCCATTAAATGTGACCCAGCCAAAGGCCACAAAAGTGCTGAAGCAAACAGAGAGAAACTAGTGTCAATGTGATGACTTTACACTTCTGACGTTCGACAGTGGTCTTTTTGCTCTACACAGCAGAGTCAAAGCTCCATAAATGAATGCATCGTGAGAATAGTCCAACATCGGTCTATAAAATAAAAGTATTATTGCTTGTGGTTTATCACTGAAGATGATTCAATGATCGCCTGGATTATGGCTTTGCAGGAGAGCGGGCACAAGGGGGTCTGTTCAGCAATAAAATGTCAATATAAACCCTCAGTTTTACACAAAATAAATACAGGAAGACTAGCTTTTATCTCAAACAACAAAAAATGCGTTTATATGTCTAGGATCGAAAATGTAAATAAAATGTGCTAACAGGTCTTAAATATACTAAGAAATATTATAAGCCACATATATTCAGTGGAATTAATATGTTTGATTATTAAAATTTAGCCTTAAGTACAAGTACCTTTATCCAAGACACCATAAGAGGAAAATGTGTTCTCTGTATTCAAACTTTATCTCTAAAATAAAACTGCTTTACGGTTATTTCCACAGTCTCTAAAGACAAACGCAGAGAGTGAAGAAATAAATATGACTTATGGAGGAATGGACTCCACTGCCTTACAACAAATATTTGTACAGGAATTAAGACTCTTGAGCTGTAGAGGAAACATTTGTCCTCCTCCGTAGAGCTTGGAATAATATTCTTCATGTTTCTATTTTCCAGACAGTCTCATCCAAACTCATCTGTTACAGAAGCTCAGTTGGATCGTCTCAACAACATATTAACTGTCCAAAAAAAGACGCTACTTGACGGATTAGCTCTTTAACACTCTCAAATGAAAAATTAGTCTTAAAAACGATGTTAATACATGGAATGTTGCCAAGCATGACCAGAAACAGATATAGTCTTATAAATGTGAAGGCCATGAACTCGGTGAGTTTGAAGATCACAGACACACAATGGCTCATCCTTTGCGCCCAGCTGCATGGCAACTTGAGACAGCTGCTTTACTGAAAGCGGGATTCTGGGGCCACTTCCAGCAAAGGAGGGAAAGGGGTGGGTGGATCGGTCAAAGTGGAGGCAACTTCAATGCGCTTATGTTGTAAATTAATTCGTCCACCTCCACGCTTCCTCCTCACACAAGAGCTGCACTCGTTTTTCGACCTAATCTACAGCGACCAGGGGTCATCGCCTGTGTCGCTCACCCTGTTTTTGGGAGGGTGGACACGACTCATACAGCAAGGGTTGATGTGGATGGAGGTCAATTGGGATACCTCACTTTCTACCATTAGATATTCTTTTAAAAAGTTTACTTTGACCACAATGTCTAAGTTATGAAGCAAAACTGCCTATAAGAAGACAAAACCTTTTACGATTTATGCAAAGTAAAAGTTAAAATTAACAAAATTGGATAAAAGTTTTAGTAAATGTTAATTTAATGTTAATGTTAATTGCGACTTTTTATCTCAGAATTCTGACTTTTTTTCAAGTAATTGTGAGATATAAACTCACAATTGCAAGTTATGAGGAAAGAATTGTGAGATATAGTCGCAATTGCGAGCAAAAACTCAGAATTGCAATATTTAAACTAAAAATTCTGAGAAATAAAATTCTGATTTTATATCTCGCAATTCTGACTTTATAACACGCAATTGTGAGTTAAAGGGATAGTTCACCCAAAAATGAAAATTCTGTCATTAATTACTCACCCTCATGTCGTTTCAAACCCGTAAGACCTTCGTTCATCTTCGGAACACAAATGTCAGCTGCGTCACGCCAGATCTGTTGTTGTGATTTGATCTGAACGAAAACAGCGTATCCATGTGACGCAGCTGACACAGAACAGCATACGCTGTTTACATCCAGCTGATATTCTCCAAAATGGCGCTACAGGGTGATGCGGAGGAGACAAATTGTTGAATAAAGTCGTTATTTTGTTTTTCTTTTGAGCACAAAAAGTATTCTCGTAGCTTTGTATAATTGCGGTTGAACCACTGATGTCACATGGATTATTTTACTGATCTCCTTGCTACGTCTCTGGACTTGGGAACATTTCAGTTGTATTGCTGTCTATGCAGGGTCAGACAGCTCTCAGATTCCATCAAAAATATCTTAATTTGTGTTCCGAAGATGAACAAAGGTCTTACGGGTTTGAAACGACATGAGGGTGAGTAATTAATCACAGAATTTTCATTTTTGGGTGAACTAACCCTTTAACTCACAATTGCGTGTTATAAACTCGCAAGTCTGAGAACATATGTCTTTTTCCCCTTAAGAATTGGACTTTATAACTCGCAATTGCAGAACTGCAAAAGTCAGAATTGTGAGATACAAACTCGCATTTGCGAGAAAAAAAAGTCAGAATTGTTTTTATTTCGACTTTCTTGCAATTGCAAGTTCCCTTTCATGGGAACTTCGAACTGCGTCCTCTAGGGGTCGCTATGGGAAACCTAGAGGACGCAGTGTCTCGTTCCCTACTCAGGGAACCATGGTTACATAAGTAACCTGAGACGTTTATATCCCGCTATTCTGACTTTATAACTTGCAATTTTGAGTTTTTATCATGCGATTCTGACTTTTAACTCAAAATTGCGAGTTTATACCCCGCTATTCTGACTTTATAACTTGCAATTTTGAGTTTTTATCATGCGATTCTGACTTTTAACTCAAAATTGCGAGTTTATACCCTGCTATTCTGACTTTATAACTTGCAATTGCGAGTTTATATATCACAATTCAGAGAAAAAAAGTAAAAATTGAGAGTTTGTATTACACAATTCTGAGAAAAATGAGAGATGTAAATTGTAAATGATGTAAAAAAATCTCAGAATTGTGAGATAAAACTTGCAATTACCTTTTATTATTTTTATTTTTTGCAGAAACGGGCTTCCATAGCATTTAAATTGTTTTAAAATGTAAAATTCAATTCCACAGGATTCTTAAAATGCAAAAACAGTCTACAGATTGGAGATACTGTAAATGCTATTCATTTATGTTGATTTCCGTCTTTCTGTGGTATTTTGGACCTATGCAGTTGCCTTTAGGTTCATGTTAGGACATTTTACCTTGGCCCAGCCTTTGGGAGTTCTGCTGCTCCTGTTGCTGCTGCTGTCTCCGCGCCAACTTCTTCATCTGAAAAAATAACGATAAAAGCACAATCAGAAAACTTCGCGACTCCCCAGACCAACTCTCGGCTATCTAAAGAGAGATGCTCCTTGTTGTTCACCTCTGCTTGAACTTCGCCAAGCTTGATCTGGCTGCATTATATTATCCACAGCCTTTTGAAGATAAAATCAGGGCTCTGAGGTGGCTTTCAGACACTAACGTAAGAGCAGGATGGATGTGAATACATCTCTCTCTAACTCTTGGGGAGTTTTTTGTGGAATGCATCGAGAGGTTAAGCTTCAGGCAGATAGCAACTGAGATTTGCTGTCTCGAGCCTCGCTTGCTTTTTCCCTTTGGCAGCAGTTGCGAGGAGTTTAGTGCGTTGTTGGAGGATTACTTGAAAATTGTTGTGTTATCTGGTCCTTGGATGTACATTATCAGGTTTGTGTGGGTAATACTGGATGATTAATAAGGTAGTGTACAGGGTCTGGACTCACCTTAGCTCTTTGGTTCTGGAACCACACTTGAACCACGCGAACGCTCAAGCCCGTCTCTGCAGCCAGTGTCTCTCTTACCTAGATTATACAACAAAAATCGAGTCTGTGTAATATATGGAAGGCCATTTCCACCTTAGAGTGTTTTTTTTCTCATTATTGTGTCATTTCAAAATATATTTCTTAGAACTAAATCTCAAAATGTTCCCGTAAGTGCAACTTGACCTCACAATTGCAACCTCATATATCACAATTGCTATACTTTTCCTAGTTAATTTGACCATTTATTGCAATGTGACTTTGCATCTCACAATTGCAACTTCATATCTCAAAACTTTAACATAATTGCGACTATTTCTCACAATTGCAATTTTATTTCTTACAGTTGAGACTATTTCACAATGTTACAGCAATTATTTATTAAAACTGTGACTTCAAATCTCAGTTGCAAATTCATATTATTTCACAATTGCGATGTTAACTGCAACTTGTCACAGTCTTTATTCCATGTAATTGTAACTATCTCTTACAATGTTACAATGTGACTATATCTCTCAATTGCAACTGCATATGTTGTAATTGTGATTTTTTTTCTCATTTTATTTTACGTAATTGCAACTTGATATTTCATAACTGTGACTTCATAAACCATGTAATTTAATTTTGTTGTAATTTTGACATTACAACTTCATTTCTCATAATTGTGACTTTATATCTCACAATGTAACTATGTTACACTGTATATTATAACTCTTACTAAAAATTTAAATCGCAACTTCCTATCTCACAATTGCATCATTAATTGCAACTTTCAAGTAATTGTGATATCACAACTGCAAATTTATATCCCACTATTTCTTATTTTAAAGGGGTCATATGATGCTGCTAAAAAGAACATTATTTTGTGTATTTGGTGTAATGAAATGTCTCATAAATACCCATTTTTATTTTCTCTGAGTCACAAATGACTTCGATAGAAAGATGGTGTTCAAGAGATGGAGGAAACTGATCGCACCTTTCGGCAGGGTTTGGAAGAAACCTCGAAGGATGCCTTGAATGCACGTCTCTGCTGCGTGGTGAGGATGGTACGCGGTCGCTTGGGTCTTCTTGGGTCTTTCCCATCATCTCCCTTCCCGGTTCCTCCTGAGCCCTTCTCCGGCTTGATATTCAGCTCCTCATCTTCGCTTTTCTCTGGAAAGAAATCCATCATTCACAGGTACTTACTTTTAAAACTCTGCAACTTTTTAGACAGCCTACTGATAAATAGATGTTTTTGTTCTTTTCAATTTTAAGAGATTCAGTCACAGTGCATCCACAATGAAAGGAGACACATGTGGTTTTAATACTTTTGTTATCAATTTATTAGTGCATGAGTGGGCCACATCCACTGCAAAACGGCAACTCTGACTGTGGAGTATGTGAATTTGTCATTGGACTGGACATTGTGTCATTTAAAATGAATAGCGCACGGCTTTGGCTCTTTTACACTATATAAATCTTTGATAAGAATCCAACACACAGCAGATGCAACATTTTGGGGAAGGTATGAAAGTGGAGTACATACGGGAAATTATGAGGTCTAATATCCAGGGGAAGTGAAACAGACAGCAAAACCACAAATTCAAACAGTGAACATGCTCGCAAAAGAGCAGAATTTAAGCTCGCCAATCCAAAAAGTTCAATATCTCGCCTCATATCACAAAATGTACACTGCCTGTTCATATGAACTAATCAAAGTGTCTCAATTAGTCTAAGGTGATCCTCGGGCGGGTTAATCAAGCCTGCCCTGTGTCATGATAATCTCTCTCAGTAGGTCCAGCTAATGTGCCATATTCACAAAATGGCTCCTGGCTTTCCTACTGTAATTATTATAGTCAAACGGGGGATTGGCTTTATTGTTCAGTGGGTGGAGGTTTCATCCAATAAGCCACATCAGCTTGTGTTTAATAGAATAATAATAGTAATTAAAAAAAAGGTGCCAAACTCCATAACGTGGCCTGGTTCGAAAGTTAAAAACCCAAATGGGCACGTTCCCAGCGTGACTGTTTTTCGAGATTAAGGGCTTCTGCAATTTGGCACTAGTGGCTTTTGTGGCATCAGCAGTGAACATCTCTGGTGATTAGGCCTGCAAGTGGTTTGGCCTTTTTAAGTGATCAGCGGGAGATACAAACATGATGGGCTGATTCGGTCCTCTCTCTCATCTGTTTCTGATCTCTTTTTCTGTGGTGTACTGCAAACTAAACGAATTCTTAGAAATTACACTTCACTTCTTGCATTCAGGTCAACTTAGAGACATTAAACGAACATACCAAAAAAACATAATAAGGAAGAATAGAAAAGAGACAATTGTCCCAGAAAGTTGACGCAGTCTTGCTGAAGCATCTGACAAATTTCTCTGTGTTTGAGAGAGTGGGCTGTGTGCGTGTGCACGCGTTTAAATGAAATCCACATGGGGATGGTAAAAGTGAGGCTTGGTGAGATGCCTCATTACGGTGAAGTGAGGGAAAAGGAGTCTGAGGGGCTGATAGAAGTGAGCAGGGCCTAAAATCCTTCTTGTCACTCACAGAGATTCAAGCTCTTCTTCTTTCCAGCAACTTAACTTGCCCACATCAGACAGCACAGTGTGGCTTCTCTCTGTCAGAACTGCTCTTCATAATTAAAGGGGCCATATTCTACACCTTTGTGTGTATTTTTTTTCCTCTGTAGAACACAGAAGAATATATTTCTAAAAATGGTTCTAGTGTTTTCTGTCCATACAATAAAAGTCAATGTTTTGGCATTCATTGTATGAACAAAAAACAGTTGAAGCATTCTTCAAAACACCTTCTTCTGTGTTGTACAGAGCAAAGAAAGCCTTCTGAAACTCCCCTAAAAATATATTAATGAATACGCTGCTGGCATCATGGTCTGTGGTGTATAGATTAATATTCATACCTGAATCTGAGTCATCAGGGCTGACAGAGCTGAGGAGGTCTTTCTCCCTCTCATAGTCGTTCTTGCACAGCAGCTGTCCGTCCTTCAGTACAAACTCGTCCCCTTTCCTCAGCTGTCGGTCACATACACAGCAACAGAAGCAGTTGAGGTGGTACACGCACTCGAGTGCCCGCATCACAAACTCTGTGGGGGCGATTTTCTCCAGGCACCCGCTGCATTTGGTCGCAAATAACCTGAGAAAGTGACAAAGAGAAAGAGAAAAATGTGAAAATGATCAAAAAATCTGAAAAGACATAAGGTCAAAATTTAGCTCTAAACCGACACTACCGTTCCAAAGGTTTGGGGTTGGTAAGATGTTTTCGAAGCTTCTTAAGGTCTTTGCACACTGAGTTTGAAATTCTCATCTGAAATTTTCGCACGCACGACCTCACGTTGTGTCAATCACGTTCACACATTTGCTTCCAAAACTTTCGTCTGTCATAAAAATTTTTGGATCAGGTTCAGTTTTCTGCGTTTTCGCATCTGTAGCAAGCATTTTGATAGGAAAGGATGATGAATACGAAAAAAAAAAGAAAAAAAAAACGCATACGAAAATTACGTACTCAGTGTGCAAGGACCTTTAGAGTCATTTAAGCTGGATTTATGTGATCAAAAATATAGTAAAAATAGTAAAATTCTGAATATTGTTACAAATTAAAATAACTGTTTTCTATTTGAATATATTTTAAAATGTAATTTATTCCTGTCATGCCAAAGCTGAATTTTCAGCATCTTTACTCTAGCCATCAGTCACATGACCCTTCAGAAATCACTCTAATAAGCTGATTTGCTGTTTAAGAAACAATTCTTATTATCAATGTTAAAAACAGTTGTGCTGCTGAATATTTTTGTGGAAACCATTACACGTGTTCTTTTTCAGGATTTTTTGATGAAGAGAAAGCTCAAAGAGTTATTAATTTAAAATATTTGTAATATTATAACCATCTATACTGTCATTTTTGATCTATTTAATGTGTTTTTGCAGAATAAATTGTCATAATTAAAAAATAAAAAATAAAATAAAAATCTTACTGGCCCCAAATGTTTCATGGCAATGTATATGTCTCACAAACAATTGAATTCTCTCATATTTACTTTTCAAATAGTTGCACTACGTTCATGGTGGAAAAACAAGCAGCATACAGGTTTGAAATGACATGACAGTGTGTAAATAATGATAGAATGGACATTTGTTTGAGTGAACTTCCCCTTTAAGAGATTTAAAAATACAGTAAGAGTAAAGCATCAGAGGTGAATGTCTTTACATGTGCTTGTCCATCATAGTGTGGTGATTAAGGGGGCAGGGGGCATGAGGTTGAGCCCCAGAGTGATCTGCTTTGACACTGGCTCATCTGTTAATGCAGCCTGGATAACTCCTCAACGCTTCAGCAGAACCCAATGGAAGGAAATACGGGATCACCTCTCGACCCAACGCACCAGCAAACCTCAATCAGCGGCGTGGGCCCTCAGCTCCACTGGCTTTACCCCGCTCACTGCAGTGATTAGACAGGCTCCAGCGCCACTCACACAATGCTACTGAAACGGGAAGTTATTTCTTAGGGAAGAGATGGCTTAAAAGTTTCTTTTGTGAGAGATTTTTACATTTTTTGTGATTAGACAACAACCTGTTGATCGGAGAAAATAAAAAATAGCATAAATAAAATATTAAAATAGAAACAAAAATATTTGTTCACTCATATTTAATGCAAATTTACACTATGTTGCTATGAACTCTTCTCCTGTCAGATAAACTCTAAAATCATACGCTATGCCACAATACATGTCTGTTTACATAACAGACCGCAGACACCCCCACAGCCTTCATTTCCTCCTAACGTTGTCGATAAAATCCTTTTGGTTTCATTACAGGCAGAGATATTACCATCTCGCTCTCATCTTGTGAGGTTCAGCGGGAGCCCACCTCTACAGGAAGCGGGTGTGTGACAGTGTCCAGCCCATAAAAGCTGATTTATTAGCCTTGGTTCTTTTGTTTGCTCTGGCTGGTAGGACAGCTGCCCCGGCGCTTGTGTGTATCTCTCCATTTCATCTGTGGCATTGTTCATCGGGAGGGAGAGACAGGGAGAATGCCCATCATCATCATATTCTGTTGATGGTGGACAGGGTTGGTTGACAGTGATGAATATGTGTTAATATGAGTTCAGATGAATATGTGTAAATATGGTGGTTTTTGTGATGGTAATTTCATTGTGAGATGGTGATGGGGGACTGATAATCACAGCCCGCTGGACACACGACCAGCTGCATCGCTGTTTGTTGGAGTTTTGTATAGCTGGGTATTTTTTTTGTCGCGACTGTTGTTTTGCATGTCAGACTTTCTATGGGCATCCTTTGAGATGTCACGAGAATAAAACGATGTGGCATACAGTGGAATCATCTTGTCATTTATGGAGCAGCATCATTATTAATGCTGGAAAATAACTGGCAAATACTCATTGGCAGATACTGTAAGTTTTATGTACTATATTATGTACTATTTTAATCATTGCCGTTTCTGTTAAACTGTATTTTACTTCATTTAAATTAGTTTATATTTTATATTTAGTTCATATTTATATTTACATTTTCAAACTGGTGTTCCAAAACTTGAAATAAATGTAAAAAACTAAATAAAAATAAATAAAGTCAAATTAATTATATATGAATATAAAATATAAAATAAGGATTTTTATACTAAATATATATCATATAATTAATAACTTGAGTTGGTTAATATTTTCTAATCACATGACAATATATAGTTTAATTTGGCTTATTATTCATTATTTAAAATGTAACATCATGTTCTCTTAATAATGTTATGCTTATTATTAATGGGATTAATAAATGGGATTTTATTTTAACTCCTTCACAAGTGGGTCATCATATTTTGGGATCTTTGGGATCAAGAACTTTGAGAACTCAGTTTTTTGGGAGAATAACAATATGGTTACTGGCATTAGCACGGTAAACATAAGCTTATAATCTTTTATTTATTGTGGGACAACAAGAAGATTAGAAGATTTTTATTTGCCATTGGAAAACTATTAATCCCAACTAAACTGTTGGCATGCCAACAACTCTCTTGTGTTTGTGGGATATCCGTCTACCTGGTTCCTTTCTCCAATCTGAGCGAAGGAATAAGAAGGAAGAAACACACCTTCATCATTTTGTGTTTAGACACGGCCTGATCTGTTGTGGTCACTCCCAATTGTTCAAGCAATTACGTCCATACAGATTTCATTAATCACATGAAAATAGAATTATTTCCCCCCCACAAATCAAGTATTGAGCAAGTATTGAAGATTAGCATGGTTGTAATTTTTGGCACGAAGACCACAGCGCTGTGATTTGATCTTGTGAAACATCTGTAAAGAAGATGAGTTGGTAACAATAACAAGATGATTTTGCACATTCCATCAGTTTTTGCTGTCTAAACACATCCAAACACTCACAACGTTTGCATTAAACGATGGCTGACGTAATATTTTGGCTAGATTAACCAGTTACACGCCGGATCTGTCAAACAAGTCAGACAGAATAATGAATCTGTCATCATGACTCAGTTTGAATCCAATGTTTATTCAACAATGCGAATCCTCGTCAAAGACTCCAGGGCGAAAAAGGCCGGAAAGCACAGGAAATGAACCCTATTGAGAAGTGGTGACACTTTCCAGTTTCGCCCGCTCACCTCGACGCCGCTCCGCTCTCAGGATCCTTCTCATCCAAATGAAAACATTCCCTTTCATCCGCCTCTTTTCTTCTCACCTCCTTTTTCCCCACCCGTTCTAATCTTGTAAGCCATTATTTTTCTATTTCCCCTCTCTGTCACTTTGCATTATTTTTGCTGCTGTAATTCCCATTTGTTCCTTCTGGAATCTTCCTGTCCTGGCTTTGTCCCGGCATCTAATCCGGACTTTTTGGCTGTCGTCAGCCCCCCTGACCCGTTCCCCATTCTCAGCGGGACCTCTGATGGAATAGCCACGCATGACGCCCCTGCTATAGCAACCACACCTCTGCAGGAAGGCAACGACTAACTTTTCGGATGGGCAGAGAAAGCCTTTCACAAGCTGGCAGCAGAAGTAAATCCTTCTTGGAGGAACAAGGGGAATTAGCAGGTAGCAGTGGAGTAGGGATTTAACCCTACCCCTTTTTTTTCCTTTTGAAAGGTACAGTCACTTCAACTCCCACTGATCTCCACAATCAAACAGGGCAGAGGCGGGGCTAACAGAAAGAGAGAGAGGGAGTCGGCCGGGATGAGGGGGGTGAAAGAGAGCAGCCCAGTGAATGACACAAGCGCTGGATTGTGGAGGAGCCCCTAATCCCACTTTAATACCTTTCCAAGTTCAGCGCCGAAAGAATGCACTTTAAAACAACACCGCAGTGTGAGCAGGCGAAGGCCAACCGGGGTGGGGTCCTTGGTTGATCTCATTCCCCCGTAACATTACCTGATTAGCCTGGGTGAGCAACGGAGTATGGGTATGCAGGGGAAGAGCGGACCGAACGTTAGGACAGACATAAACAACAACAGCGCTTACTGGGACGCCGCACGTCTTCTGGAGGGGATTTCTGTCCTGTGGTTTGAGATGAAAGCTGAAGAGAGACTAGAGAGTAGAATCCTTCAGATGCATCTCCACATCTGGGCCTTTTTAATAAACCTCTACAGTGAGAGAAAGTACTACCACCGCACACAAAACACAAGATCTACAGATCCCAATTTTTCTCCTATTGGTCTCAAGGAGCAAAAAGAGTCTGAAGAAGCATGTACATTATTGAGCTGCCTTATAAAACACCTAAAATAAATAAAATAAAATACATTAAATAAGTAATAATAATATGTTGTTATAAACAAATATGACAAATAACAAGCAAACAAACAAACAAAACAAAAAAACCTTCATGGAACATATAAATATACTCTATCCATGCTATACTGAACAATACCAATAAAAATTACATTTTATATGCTTATGCTTTTAAATAAATATGCATTTGAATAATTTGCGAAGTTAAAACAAAAAACAAAAAATAAAATAAAAAATAATCCTAAAATTAGGATAGAGAACAAAGCAGCATATATATTATAGATATACAGTACCTATATATGTATCGTTCACTGATAAAAATTTATTGCGACAAGCTCAGTAAAAAAATTAATCCAAGATGGCGTACAAACATACATATCATTCAAAACTGA